CCGATATGTATTTGAGTTATCACCATTTTAAAAAATTGGCCAATTTAAAAAAACGAAGGCTATAGCCCTTGGTTTTTTCGAAAAATGGCTCTGAAATCACCCCTATTTTTATTATTTTCTGATACATAATTGATGTCCTTAATGCTGTGTTCATAGAAAGTTCGAGTTGATTCAGAAAATTTTTTTTCAAGTTACGAGCATTATACTGTATAGTGGGAAATTTTGGAGGATATTAAATTTGGCGAATTTTGCATTTTGATAGCCATTTGCTAAATAAAAAATTCGCCATTTTGAGCCATTAAGCTCATACTCAATGGCACGTGGCCATAAATTTGCCAAATGAAAATTTGCCAATGACCAAATTTAGCAATTTGCCAAATTTTAGTCCCTCCAACATTTCCCACTATACGGTAATTCCTCTGTTTGTGTGTCATTTTATGATTTGTGATTGATTAGTTTTTAATGAATGGTTCATTAATGAGTAGTAATGATAGTAGTAACATTCGTAAGTAGTTACTTATAATAATAACTACCCACCCACACACAGAAATTCCTGTACTGTCTGTATCAATGACTCTAAGATCAAGACAAATCTCTTTGAAGTTTTACCAGCATTCATGCAGTAATCACAAGTTACAAATGAGCATGTACATACATGTAGTGTATTTGTGAAACAGTATAATAACGATTCTCTATTACAGTTATGTATAATTGGCATTGATAGCTTTAAAGATTATGACATTATCTTGTACTGCATGGATCATGCATGTACATGTACATCTTAAGGCAGCATTGTACATTAGATTCAAATTTATGAATGCTTGTAGCTTAAATATTTGTGCTTGGAATTGGCTCAATCTTTTTGCACAGCACAAGGATGCATGTACATGTACATGTATTAGGATTTTGGAATGTACATGTAGTTATAATAAGTAATTTCTCTCTCCATTCCTTCATAGAGCGATGATGATTTATATATGGCTGAATGTATACAGAGCAGTTTGAGATATGATATACAACAAGAAAGACAAAGGAAGCAACCGTCACTGAGAAAAAGCACTAGCAGTAAATTGTGATAATAATGATGATGTACATTTATCACACTCTCTCTCTCTCTCCTTCAGATTGGAGTTGTCCCAGTTGTCAATGGTCCAATAATCCATTAGTCACTACTTGTGATAAATGCTCCTATATACTTCCATGAATATCCTCTTTCTCTTTTATAATTCTTTTCACTTTATATTGGTTTTTGATCTTATTGTTACTTGTATTATTATTGTTGTTCATTCTGATGTTAATTGTTGAATAACACACATGCAGTGTATCTTCATGTACACGTACAGTACATAAAGTGTGTGTTGGTATGTTAGTTCTGTATGGTATATAATAATTATACTGTCTTTGTGGGACTTCATATTATTAGTGTAGTTTATTTAATCCTTTGTCATTTCAGGAGTTTATGATGGTCGTTTGTATAGTTTAATTTCACTTGATTTTTTCAAAAAATTAGCTTTAACTTTAAAATTTCTAGCTAAATTCTAGAACCTATTTTTAAAGAGAATGACCCATTAGCACATAAACTGTAATAAGCTATGATGTTGACTGGATCAATGTTCTTGAAATGAAGTACATAATATTATTTTAAAGAAACTATTTTGATATCAATTATAAAAAATAACGGCATAGCAAGTATACATGTAAAGCAGCAAATGCCAATAATGATGAAACTAACATTATTAGAGCAATAATTAAAATTGGACGAAATAATGATAATAGTAATTAATAAAAAGCACAATTACATACAATACAAATTAATGTCAAGTAACATCAATGCATATAAACACAATCAGTA